GAATGAACAAATTAAGCAACTTCTATTTATTTTAGCTTAAATATGCTCACCCACTAGGTGCAATCTGAGAATACTCTTAAAATATTGTAGGTGTAATTTACATACCATAAAATGCACGAGTCCGAAGCGAACAGCTCGTTGTATTCTCATCTATGCGTATTTCCCATGTGACCACTGTCCAGATCAACATACAGAACATTTCCATCACCCCAGAAAGTTCCCTTGTGCCCCTTCTGAGTCTACCTCCCTCACCCTCAGATAAGGAACGTTACGGCTTCTGTCATCATAGATTCAGAGGACATGGTGCTTTTTTTTTACTCCACTGGGTCTTTGTTGCTTTGTGCAGACTTTCTCTAGTTACGGAGAGTGGGGGCTACTCTTTGCTGTGGGTCACAGTCTCTGTGGGGGCATGGTCTCAGCAGTTGCGGCCCCTGGGCTCTAGAGCTTGGGCTCAGTAGTTGCGGCACATAGGCTTGGTTTCTCTGTGGCATGTAAAATCTTCCCAGACTGAGGATGGAACCCGTGTCCCCTGCATTGGCAGGCAGATTCTTATCCACTGCGCTACCAGGGAAGTCCCAACATGGTGCTCTTGATTAGGTTTTTCATGGCGGGGTGTGGAGAGAACTAACGCAAAGCCATGGAAGTCAGTAACCAGTGGCTCAATGAGATGAAACTTGGAAATAAGATTGCACTCTGTCTCAGAGTTTAATCAGGAAAACAAATATGGCGGAAACTATGGAAGGGGATGGGAAGTTCTCACGAATTGAGAGGTATGGTCTGTACAGTCATCCCCCGAAGGGGGCTTATTATAGTACTCTGTCAATTTGAGCACAAACATCCAGTCTTCCCAGCAGGTGTGTTTTGTCTGTGGAGATGGGTACAGCAGAACCTCATGCGTTAAATATTTGCTGTGGTTGCATACTCACCAAGTTGATTTTGGGTAACTAGGATTCCTATGTCACTTGCATTTTTGGAGAGAATATGCTGACCAGGTTGCCATGAATATGCGGACTACCACGTACTTATATATGTCAAAATGGTATTTGCACCATTAAGAACCTACAACTTTATTGTTTGGGGTCAATGTCATGGAGTCAGATTCCCTCTGGGACACTAACAAATCTGGGGTTCTCAGACTGGGAGTCTGAAGCCTGGATTTTGCCCTGTAGTGAATTCCCATAGTTGATACCATCTCTAAGATCTCTTGTTAAGATAGCCTTAAACATGCCAACCACAACTCTGGCCTTTCTTTGGAAACTTCCACCCTCACTGAAGACGTGTTTTGTAAACACAAGAATCTCCAAACAAGCTGAAATAGAATACAAATAATTCCTACCAAGGCAAAGGGAGATAGAGCTCCTCAAGATTCCAAGAAGCAAGCTAGATTTTTAAAACCTTTTTTATTGTCAAATATGACACAAATAAACATACAACATCAGTGTTCAAAATATTGATAATAGTGAACACTAGTGTAACAATATCCACCTAGGTCATTATGAAATGACCAACCTCCCCAAATCCTTCTGCATGTCCCTTTAAAAATATATTTTTTTAATTTCTTGGCCACGCTGCACAGCATATGAGACCTTAGCTTCCCAGTGAGGGATCAAATCCACACCCCCTGCATGGGAAGCGCAGTCTTAACCAGTGGATCGCCAGGAAAGTCCTGCATGTCTCTTCTAGACATATCCCCCTCTCTACCACACCATAGGTAACTTGTATGGTATTTTTATGGCAATCATTTCCTTGCTTTTCTTTATACTTTGACCATCTATACTGCATCCATAAACAGTATACTTTCTTTTTGCCTGGTTTTGAACTTTATATAAATGGAGTCAAACTGTTCATTTCTTATTTTTATATAGTATAAATGTGATATATAATACATAATCTGTTATTTATATTTATTCAGTTTCATTATGATATAGTATCCCATTGTATGAAATATATACCACAATTTATTTAATCAATATACCATAACTTATTATTAATATATAAGTGCATATTCCTGTAGTATTTCTAAGGAATGGAGCTGCTGGGTCATAAGTTTGATATTTCTTCAGCTTTAATAGACAAGGCAATGTTTTCAAAAACTGTTGTTCCAGTTTACACTTCCACCCCCACGTTATGAGAGTTTCAGTTGATCCACATCCTTGCCTATACTTGGCATGGTCAGACTTCTAAACCTTTGCCAGTTAAGTGGTTGTGTTGGTATCTCGTGGTTTCAAATTTGCATTTCCCTAACTACTAATGCAGTTGAGCATGTTTTTATATAGTGGCTGGTCCTTTGTATTTATTCTTCTGTAAAGTATCTATTCAAGTCAGTTGCCCATTTTTCTATCAGATTGTCTCTGTCTTACTGATTTGTAGGAGCAATTTCCACTTTCTGGATATAATTGATCTTTTCCCATTTGGGGACTTGTATTTTCCCTTTATGGGTTTTTAAAATTTGCCTTATTTTTCAGAACATTTTAGATTGAGAAGAATTGAGAAGATATTACATATACCTCACACTCAGTTTTCCTTATTATCAACAGCTTACATGAGTAGGGCACATTTGTCACTACTGATGAACCAATAGTGATATTAATACATTATTATTGGCTAGAATCCATACTTTATTCAGATTTCCTTTTCCAAGGTGCTTTGTCAACTGGGTCCTGCTAGCTTGGAGCTGAACCGTATGAAAAGAAGCTTTTTCTCCTTTCCCCCTTCAAATGGGATGTAAAATCTCAGGTTATTTACACAGGGTTCAGCTCACACTCACTTTTCCATTCTGCATATTGTGTCTTTTGAAAAAAAATCCTTAATTTTCATTGGGCAGGGCTCCACAGGGCTCCCTGATGGCTGATTTACAGGGACCAGACCATCTCACCATGCTCTCTCTAGGATCACTCAGAACTCACTGCTGGAATTAATGGAGGGTGGGTAGCGGGTGGGATGCAGAGTTACAGAAGCAAACTATATTATGTGTTTCTTCAAATCTTCTATCTGGCCCTCTCCTTTTGGAACTCAAGAAGCAGGAATTTGACATTTTTGTTTTCTGGTTCTTCTCCAAGAGTCCTCCCCTCAGGGCAGTAGATGGCTGGAGTCTTGGCTATTTGGCCTGGGAGGAGAGGTGTGCCGAGAATGGGGGAGGAGGTTTCTTTTAGGCTAACACAGGGGTCATTACTTCAAATATTTTCCTGGGCACACATATCCATCTCAAAATGCTTCAGTGGAAAAAGTTAACTGCACATCACTGGTTGTTTACTGAGCGCTAAAGATTGAATCAGAAGGGCTGTGTTCACAAAGCAGAACTGCTGAGGACTCAGAATGTGACCTTGAGTACATATGCCCTCCCCCAGGTTTCAATCTCTCAATCTATGATACAAGGAGAAGCTTTCCTACAGCATTTATCCTGCTGAATTTCAAGGCTATAAGCCCCTTTGAGACCTCAGATGAAAAGGGGTCTTAGATTTAAAGGATAAACTATTCACCCTTGGCTCAAAAAAAGGACGTTATTTCTCAAGACAGAGTATGAAAGATTGTGAGATTTTGAGGTTTCCTGGGTGGGGAGGAATAGGCAGGATTTATATTATGTTCCAGTCTATTTATATTTTTGGTCTACTTCAAATTAAAAGAAATAAGAATGTCCTAGAACTCTTTCAAGAACAGAAAAATTCACTCCTCTCCCCGTTTTTCAGGCTGGATGAAATAGCAAGAGTTGTGCTCTACTTTTAGCTGATTATGCCCCTAAATAAAGTTTAGACAAATTTTTTTTAGGACTTTTGTCTAGAACCTGTTCTACAATATATAGTAAGATGCACAAAGAATGAAATTTTAGTTGATATGAAGAGAAATGATTCCATCATGCTTAAAAATGAATTTTTAAAAAATGATTAAATTCTTATTGATATTTTTCAAGTCAGTGATTTTAGAGTTGATGTTTTGAACAAACAGTTAATGCTTAACCTGATGGGCTTTGTTCCTGTCATAGTTTGGTTTTTGCTACCTGAAAAAACTCCTATCCATGCATATTGAAACCACATCCATCTTTCAAGGCCATCAGCTGTTTTCTGAACACAGTTGATACATTGTCACTTCTTGCTTCATCTCGAGGTTAAAAAAAACAACCCATGAGATGTCAGAAGGGAGGATACTGGCCAAATTAATTATGTCTAGCCTTCACATACTAAAGGATGGATGAAGGAAATAATTAACTAATGTAACTAATTCTTGGGTAGATCAATAAGTCTTAGGGTTGCCAGACTTAGCAAATCAGAATGTAGGACGCCCAGTTATATTTGAATTTCAGATAAACAACAAATAACTTTTTTTTAGTTTAAGTATGTCCTATGAAATATTCATGACGTTTATCCTAAAAATTATTCGTTGTCTATCTGAAATTCAAACGTAACTGGGCGTCCTGTAGTTTATCTGGCACCCCTAACTTGGAGTGCTGGGATTTCCCGAGGCGCCTGGCTTCCTCCAAGCAGGTGCTCAGCATCTGTGTAATTGTTAGAGCGAAACCCAAACCAGCCTTGCAGCTCGCGATCGCTACAGACAGACACCCTGATAGAATACCGTCACTCAAGACTGGCGAAAGGGTCCACACCCGGGAGGCAGCCCCACCGTGTGGTCTCTCTGGGGCTGTCTGCACCCCTTGACAGGTTCCGTCCTTCCCCCTCAGTCCCGGATCCCCAGCCCTACCCTCCATCTCCTGACCCTTCGTCACGGGCCGGGGGCGGGACTGCCCGGCTCGGCGATCGTTGCCTGACATTGGCAGGGCCTTCTATCATCATGTTAGGCTCCGCCCATCACCCTGACGTTTCCCAAGCTACGTCTCTCCCGCAAACCGCGGCGTAGCTAGGGATTGGTGGAGAAGGCGGCGACCGTCCCCGCGGAGGCGACGACAGGGCGACCTCTGGGAGTCGCAGCAGCGCTTGTGCTGTGGTGGTCGCTAGCGTCCTTCTGGTCAGTTCCGCGTCGCCCTGCGCTGCTACAGCCGCCGCGGAACCATGGCTGTGCTTGTCGTGCTCCTGTCGTCTTTGGTGGCGGGTGAGGACCCGGGGGCGGGCGGGAGGCGCTCCGCGAGGGAGCTCCGAGGGCCGCTGGGCTTGGGGGTCGCGGGCAGCCGAGGGTGGGCGGCAGTGGAGCGGGTGCCGCAGTGCGGGCAGTCGGCGATGGCCTCGCCCCAGCCGCCTCTCTCGATCTTCTCTCTGGGCCAGCCTGTGGCGGCGCGGCCTGGCGGGCTTGCAGGGACAGGGCCGGGCGGGGCGGGGCTGGGTTGCGTGGGGGCACCTGAGCCGGCCTCCACCTTCCGCCCCTTCGAGAAAGGCGCGTCCAGCTGTCTCGCTCCGGCCTCTTCCGCCTCGGGAGGCGCTTCGGAGGACCGGGAGGCATTTCTCGATCAGCTGATGAACCGCAGCCCTTTGCGAAGAGGCCGATGTCCCAGCTGCCCTCAGCTGCTGCTTTTCTTGGTGTCTTTATTTCTAGCAGTGGTCATCAGTAATTGGTGAAATTCCTCCTCCCCCTCCCCACGGTTTCAAGATACGAAAGTTGAGAGTGGAGTATTAATAATTGTTTTTGTGTGATTATTTTCTCAAGGAGAATTCCAAGTACCTCTCCACAAAGTTTGCAGTAGTTCCTAATTTTAAGGATTTGGAAACTAAGGCATGAGTCACGTTCTTGGGGTCACATGTCAAATGGTAGCTTTCTCCGTGAATCTAGATTCCCCAGTATTCAGCAAGGGGAATGCCAGTCAGCTCCCGTGTATCATGTAATTAATTTAATTTTGCATCAGCCCTTAGGAGAGTGGTCAAGCCTAGATAAGTTACCCACAGCACACAAGTGGTAAGCAGCAAGCCTGGGACCGAACCCAGATCACTGGGCTCCAAAGCCCAGTGATGGGCCTTTCCTATTGTGGCACAGGTGTGAGAATGTGGGAATGATGGGTGCTGGAACTAGGGGCACGGAGAGTGGTGAATATGAGACCGCATTGAGAACAGTTTGGAGGAATGGGTCCTGTTCCCCAGCGTGCCAGTTTAAAACCTAGAGGTTAAAAATCTGTAGACGGCCTGTGCCACTGCTCTGTGAAGTGCTGAGACACTTCACTTTGGGAATGGTGGTTTAATTTTACATGGAGATATAGACCTTTGATGTTTTTGAAGTCTACAGGTCTTCTCCATCCCTGGAGGTGCCCAGTGTTGTGTTGATGCTAGCTGGCTTGTTTTCATGACTGTAGAATTTTAGAGTTGTATTGTTCCTTTCATCTCTGGCTCTGGCAAGGTCATTCTGATCAGTCTAGTTGGGTACTGCAGGAGAATTTAATTTTTTAAACTTGGTTTTGGAAATGTAAAGATCTTCCCTTTGATACTGTCATTTAACTGAACATCTTGCTGAAATGCATGTTTTAATGTTATAATTGATCTTCCTGTGATTCAGTGAGGTTTGGGGGGTTTTGTTAAGTTTTGGTCTGAGGCAAATAATTGCTTCTGTACATGGTTTGAACCTGCTTTCCTAACTAGAAAAGTCTAGTTCATACAGACCAAGAATCTGATCCTGTCAGCTTCTTCACTGCTGTGGTCTTGTCAGATGAGGTTAAATTACTGTTTTCCACAGTGACTAAATGTGACTTATGGAAAACATCTTTTAAGAGATCTGACTTCTGTATTTGAGGAAAAAATATGTCATTTAAAATGACGATACCAAATCAGGGAGAGAGTGGAAGTGAACTAGAATACCAGGTCACGTGCCCATGGAAAAAATATGTCATTTTAAATGGCGATACCAAATCAGGGAGAGAGTGGAAGTGAACTAGAAGTAAATACCAGGTCATGAGGAGTATTTGGGGAAAAAAATCAGATGGTTAGCTTGGAGAGGAAGGGCCAAGGGCGGACACATGGAATGTGAAGGGGCGTCACATTGAAGAAGGATTCGATTTGGTTAGTGATACCCCAGAGGTCAAAAGTAGGACCTCTTTAGTTTTTTACATGATGATTTCATCTTCATTCAGAGATGACAACACAATATGGTGGGCATTCCCAAAGCGAAGGATTCTTAACCTCTAGCCCAGATTGGGGAGGCTGGGGGAAATTTCCCTAGGCTGGGTGCCTCACATGTAAATGTATGAACGGTTGGGGTGGGAAGAAAAGGGTTTTTTGACAGAACAGTATGTGTGAAAGCACAGAGATATGAGAGCAAAAGAGCAGTTTGGTGGAGCTGAAACGTATAGGAGTTAAAGTTGCAGAGATTCCATAGGAAGGGTGGTGAAGTGCCTTGGGTGTTAGGTTTTGGATTTTGTCTCAGAGACTCTGGGCATTGAGTGAAGGTGGTTGAGCTGAAGGGTGAACATTCAGATCTGTAGTTTGAAAAGGTGCTGGGAAGACTGGAAGAGTGCCATGACCGGTCACAAGGAGGCCGGTTCTGTCTAGCCTCAGGAAGGCCTGAGGAGGGCCCTGGACATGGAGGGGAAAGGGCTTGGGAGATAAGAAGAAAAGATAGACAGAACTCAGAGGTTGATGAGCTGTGGTGCTGAGGAAGGGTTTCAAGATGATTAATTCAAGCAGCTGGGTGGAAGGTGGCGTCATCCTTTGATACAGAGAATACAGGAGGCGTGTGTGGGGAAAATGGCCAGTTCAGTTCTGAACCTGTTGCGTTTGAAGCACCCGTGGAACTTGGAAGGAAATGCTCAGCAGACTGCTGGATATCTAGGCAGAAGGCTTAAGGGGAATCTAGGCTGAAAATAAAAATCTGGGACCCATGAGTGTGTTTTTGGTGTTTGGAGCCTTAGGGAGTAGATGGGCCCAGGCAGGGGGAAAGCCAGCGTAGAATAGGAAGCAGCGGGGGTCAGGAATGGAGCTGCAGATCTCCAAAGTGGAGTGTGCTGGATTTTGGTGCTTTGTAATATATTATGAACCCATTGTTACATTATAATTTGTGAATGTATACTTTTTAAGTAGACATATGTATACTGGGAATACTTTCAAGCTTCGTACTGAAAGGGTTGAAATCTAAAAAGCTTGCATATCGCTGCTTTAAAGGAGGGGAAGGAGAAGAAACTGAGGAGAAAGGCAGCCAGAGGGACTGGGAGGAAAACCAGGGGCTCAGGCTTAGAGAGACCAGGGCAGGAGTTTCAAGGACAGAGTTGCCAGAATCAGCCGCTTTGGGCAGTTACATAAATTGAGGCTTGCAAACTGTCTCTGGGATTTGGTGAGTCATTTCGGGGTGGCGTGGTAGGGTCAGAAGCTGTGGGTCAGGTAGCATATAGGAGATAAAGAAGCAGAGGAGCCAGGTGGTGGCTGACTACTCTTCCAAGGTGGTTCTTCATCTGAAGGGAAGCAGAGGCAGGAGGGAGCTGGTAGGACCAAAGGAGAGTTTCTGTGGTGTGGATTTTAGAATGGGAGCACCCTACAAGTATTTTTGTGTGCTCAAATAAAAGAGCCAGTTGAGAAGGAAAAAGGGCTAGTGCAAGGTGTAGCTTCATTCATTCACTCTCAACAAGTATTGATGGAGCACCAGTGTGCCAGGCACTGTTCTCAACCCTGGGGCTATTGTGTGAACAAGACAAACCAAAACCCCTGCCCTCATGGGACTCATATTGTACAGGGCCAGCTTTTTATGCCCCCAGCCATACAGCCACCTAACTTCTAGTACAGGGTCTGTTCCAAGTTGGGAAGCCAACTTCTTACACTTTGTAAATGATTAGAATGTTGGGACTATGGAGATGATTACTGGCAAATGTAGGGTTTGTAAGTTGAGGTGGCATCTCCATTCACTAGTCGTGTTCAGATGGGTGACTTTCAGGTATTGTGCCGATGCCTGCATGAAGCATTAGTTTCTTGGTATAGGAGTCTACCTTTTCTCAGCCTCTTGATATGTCCGTTGGAAATACTATGTCCTGGACTTCGTTTCTAAAGTCTGAAGTATTATACCTTCTAACTGGTAATGTGTACCCTCCCCCCCATTTGACAGTTCTCATTTCACTAGCTTTGCCTGTGGGACATAAGGAAAGCTAGGATCTATCCTAAGATAGACTAACCGGCTGAAATTTCAGAGTGATATATTAGAAATTTTTTGAATTTGCATTTTGAAGAGAGAATTGGTGGTAGAAATAACTTAGACATTTCAAGTTTATTTTCTTCCTTTCTAGTCTGGGTCAGGGTTTTGGTTTTTGTTCTGGAAAATCTGGAGAAATGCTCTGATTTCTAATCCTTGCCAAATTGTCACATGCCCCTGTTTAGGGGCCATCTGCAGGAAGGCATCTACATCATTATGAGAATCCTGTTTCATTGCTGTAACTTTGTTACAGCAGAAGGTATGGGCTTAAATTCTTGCAGTGATATTTGGTAAAAGAATTTGTTGATCTTTAGGATTCAGCATTTTGTCCAGTCAACATTTTAGTATGCTAAGTCAATGGAGAATGGGAAAGTATGTAATTAAATTTTTTCAGTGTAGTTGCAGAAATTTTGTGATGCTGATTATTAATCTGTTTTCTTTTCAGGTATCTTAGGGAACGAATTCAGTATATTAAGATCACCAGGATCTGTTGTTTTCCGGAATGGAAATTGGCCTATTCCAGGAGAGCGAATCCCAGATGTGGCTGCGTTGTCAATGGGCTTCTCTGTGAAAGAGGTATGTGTATTTTAAAAAAATATCTGGAGCTGCTTCTGAAAGCATTTTTGTTGATTTCTGTTAATAGCCCAAGAAAGCAGCAGGCAGACATAGGTACAGATTACAAAAGTAAAAAATTTATTTGTAGTCAGAGAGATTTTAGGTAAGTGTTTCAAGCTTGGTTATGAAAGCAAAGCATTATAAAACATTAACCATGTAATTGTTTATTCATAGTAGTGACGTCCTTTGTTATATTAGAGAATGCATCTGTCCTACTGTTAATAAGATGTATAAATTTATTGGTTTTTTCCAGTACACATGATAGATTTGTGTCTTATTTGAGGCTGCCATTACAAAGTACCACAGACTGGGTGTTTTATAAACAACAACACTTACTTCTTCCACTTCTAGGGGCTAGAAGTCCAAGATAGGGTGCCAGCATGGTGAAGATCCTCTCCAGGTTGCAGAGTGCCAACTTCTTATTGTATGTGGTAGAGAGAGCCCTCTGGAGTCCCCTTTCTAAGGGGTCTGATCCCATTTATAAGGATTCCATCCTCATGACCTAGTTCCCTCCCTCAGGCCCCTCCTCCTAATACCATCACATTGGAGGGGGTTAGGATTTCAACATGAGTTTCGAGGGGACACAAGCATTCAGCCCATTGCAATTTATTATGAATGATGCAATGTATATGCATCTTACCTGAGTTTAGGAAAATAATGTGGTCAGTAGTCATAACCTGTTGTAGTAACCGACTGCTTGTGTGTGATTGTTGCGGAGAGAGGCCTAGATCCAGTCAGCATGAGAGAGCTTAAAGCTCAGGGCTGGAAGAAAGGAGATGGAGTTTGTTCTATCTCCCTGTCTCCTCCCACTTTAAGGTTTGATGCTTTTGAGGTGGTCTCTAGACATCATGAATCACTCAGAGGAATGTTCTTCCTAGGTCCTGAGTGCCCTTGAAGCCAGAAGCTGTGCACAGGAACTGCCTCTCGGTTGGGCCTCTGGGTGGAGCTCCTTGCATGAATGTGACTGGTTGTTTACATTTAAATATGAAATTTGTACCTTGTTCTTTACGAACTTAATTTTGACTACAAATGGCTGTCAAAATAACCTTTAGAAGTAATTATTACTAAACTACAAGCCACTTTCAGCAGGAATTTTATTTATAAAGTGCTTAAAGAGAATGTTGTAATGGTAGTCTTGCTGTGTCACTGTGAAAGAGAAACATGATATAGTAGCAGATAAGGGCAAAGGATGATGTGAGGGAAGAAAATATCCACAGTTACATGGAGGAGAAAGTATTTCATAATCTGGAATTTGGAAAGTACCTACATTTTGTTCACTTGCCTGCTTTTTTCCACAGAAGGTTTGAGATGACTTATTATTAGACTTTACTGTTTCAAGTCTGTGGCAGTTAAAATGAAGAAGGTAGAACTCAGCATCCTCAATTAGGAGATTGCAACTACTGCCTTAAATAAGATGTTTGCTGTCCCTATGAGTTTTCATTGATGGTATCATCCCAGAACCCCTTAACTCTGCTTGTCAGATGTTACTGGGGAAATGGTTTCCTGAATTGATAATTAAGCACAGTTTCATGCTTTTCAATGTGCAGGACCTTTCTTGGCCAGGCCTTGCAGTAGGTAACCTATTCCACCGTCCTCGAGCTACTGTTATGGTGATGGTGAAAGGAGTGGACAAGCTTCCTCTACCCCCAGGCAGTGTCATTTCGTACCCTTTGGAAAATGTGAGTATTTACCATAAAGAATTAAAGGGGTTGCATTTAACATTTTGTATTGTCAGCTGTCACTATGGATTGTGTTCTAAGCACTCATCTTTCTTTTAATGCCCTGATAAATAAACTGCAGTTTTTAAAAAAATTATATGATGGTTGCAGATTGATTGAAACTTGGCTGCTTGCTATGCATGAGAGTACTTTCTAAGTGTAAGAGGTCAAGAAATTGCCCCGCTCTGAGAATAGTCAGAGGATTGAAAAAGAGAAATCAATTGAGGGTGTAACCTGTTGACATATTCTTGGGCATTATTTCATCACCTTCCCTTCAGAATTTTATCATTTGTTTTGGTAAGGAAAAGACTGGGGGCAGTTTTGCTGGCTCACTTATTCTTTTAAGGGCTTTTCAGGCAATATGGCTGACTGAACTGTTGTGAAAGGCCCTCCTTCTACTGTAAGCATATGGAAGTCAGCAAACATCTTTACATGTATAACTAAAATTGAAAGCAAGAAAGGGATACACACAGGTGCCAGATGTGAATAGGAAATATAGAAGCCACAGTGATGAGCAGGAGCTGAAGGTGAAATTGTGTTCCTTACAGAAAGCCAGGGGCTATAAAAATGCTATCTTGTTCTCGAAAGGAAGCCCCAACTGCCCCAGGGCTACCACAGAGGAGCTGGCTTGCCACCCTTAGCTGTGGAACCCAAAGAGCCCCCTATGAGAAATCTGAACTATGGGCTTATACTGTACAGTTATCTACTTCAAATTCACACAATCCATCCCACACAGATATGTCCACAATCCAGGGCTGTTGTGGTAAAAAAAAAGAATTGAAGAGTTGAATTTACCAAAACACTTGAGGGGGAAAAAAATGCCATGAGAAAGTCAGCAGGTCCAACAAACAGAATTCATCCCCCTAGAACTACAGATAATAAACCAGTCTCAAAAAGATACTTGAAAATACATACATATAATAAAATTGTGAGAAAGTTAAAGGAAGGGCTAGAAACTAGAGGCAGTTAAAAGTTTTTTTTTAGATGTGGTACTTTCATTTCCACTTAAAAATATATTGTAATTTATGTTGATTTCTTTAACCCATGAGTTATTTAAAAGTGTTGTAACATGTGGGTTCTTTCAGGATAATTTTTAATTATTCAGTTTCTAATTTCATTGCATTATAACACTGGTCAAAAGATGCTGATTTGGGAGGGGGGACTTTTTTTTTTTCCAGAATTCTATTTATTTATTTATTTATTTTCATTTATTTTTATTAGTTGGAGGCTAATTACTTTAAAATATTGTAGTGGTTTTTGTCATACATTGACATGAATTAGCCATGGATTTACATGTGTTCCCCATCCCGATCCCCCCTCCCACCTCCCTCTCTACCCTATCCCTCTGGGTCTTCCCAGTGCACCAGGTCTGAGCACTTGTCTCATGCATCCAACCTGGGCTGGTGATCTGTTTCACCCTAGATAATATACATGTTTCGATGCTGTTCTCTCGAAACATCCCACCCTCGCCTTCTCCCACAGAGTCCAAAAGTCTGTTCTATACATCTGTGTCTCTTTTTCTGTTTTGCATATAGGGTTATCGTTACCATCTTTCTAAATTCCATATATATGTGTTAGTATACTGTAATGGTCTTTATCTTTCTGGCTTACTTCACTCTGTATAATGGGCTCCAGTTTCATCCATCTCATTAGAACTGATTCAAATGAATTCTTTTTAATGGCTGAGTAATATTCCATGGTGTATATGTACCACAGTTTCCTTATCCACTCGTCTGCTGATGGGCATCTAGGTTGCTTCCATGTCCTGGCTATGATAAACAGTGCTGCGATGAACATTGGGGTGCACGTGTCTCTTTCAGATCTGGTTTCCTCGGTGTGTATGCCCAGAAGTGGGATTGCTGGGTCATATGGCAGTTCTATTTCCAGTTTTTTAAGAAATCTCCACACTGTTCTCCATAGCGGCTGTACTAGTTTGCATTCCCACCAACAGTGTAAGAGGGTTCCCTTTTCTCCACACCCTCTCCAGCATTTATTGCTTGTAGACTTTTGGATAGCAGCCATCCTGACTGGCGTGTAATGGTACCTCATTGTGGTTTTGATTTGCATTTCTCTGATAATGAGTGATGTTGAGCATCTTTTCATGTGTTTGTTAGCCATCTGTATGTCTTCCTTGGAGAAATGTCTGTTCAGTTCTTTGGCCCATTTTTTGATTGGGTCATTTATTTTTCTGGAGTTGAGCTGCAGGAGTTGCTTGTATATTTTTGAGATTAATCCTTTGTCTGTTGCTTCGTTTGCTATTATTTTCTCCCAATCTGAGGGCTGTCTTTTCACCTTACTTATAGTTTCCTTTGGTGTGCACAAGCTTTTAAGTTTCATTAGGTCCCATTTGCTTATTCTTGCTTTTGTTTCTAATATTCTGGGATGTGGGTCATAGAGGATCCTGCTGTGATTTATGTCAGAGAGTGTTTTGCCTATGTTCTCCTCTAGGAGTTTTATAGTTTCTGGTCTTACGTTTAGATCTTTAATCCATTTTGAGTTTATTTTTGTGTATGGTGTTAGAAAGTGTTCTAGTTTCATTCTTTTACAGGTTGTTGACCAGTTTTCCCAGCACCACTTGTTAAAGAGGTTGTCTTTTTTTCCATTGTATATTCTTGCCTCCTTTGTCGAAGATAAGGTGACCATAGGTTCGTGGATTTATCTCTGGGCTTTCTATTCTGTTCCATTGATCTATATTTCTGTCTTTGTGCCAGTACCATACTGTCTTGATGACTGTGGCTTTGTAGTAGAGTTTGAAGTCAGGCAGGTTGATTCCTCCAGTTCCATTCTTCTTTCTCAAGATTACTTTGGCTATTCGAGGTTTTTTGTATTTCCATACAAATTGTGAAATTATTTGTTCTAGTTCTGTGAAAAATACCGTTGGTAGCTTGATAGGGATTGCATTGAATCTATAGATTGCTTTGGGTAGTATAGCCATTTTGAAAATATTGATTCTTCCAATCCATGAACATGGTATATTTCTCCATCTGTTTGTGTCCTCTTTGATTTCTTTCATCAGTGATTTATAGTTTTCTATGTATAAGTCTTTTGTTTCTTTAGGTAGATATACTCCTAAGTATTTTATTCTTTTTGTTGCAATGGTGAATGGTATTGTTTCCTTAATTTCTCTTTCTGTTTTCTCATTGTTAGTGTATAAGAATGCAAGAGATTTCTGTGTGTTAATTTTATATCCTGCAACTTTACTATATTCTTTGATTAGCTCTAGTAATTTTCTGGTAGAGTCTTTAGGGTTTTCTATGTAGAGGATCATGTCATCTGCAAACAGAGAGAGTTTCACTTCTTTTTTTCCTATCTGGATTCCTTTTACTTCTTTTTCTGCCCTGATTGCTGTGGCCAACACTTCCAAAACTATGTTGAATAGTAGTGGTGAGAGTGGGCACCCTTGTCTTGTTCCTGATTTTAGGGGAAATGCTTTCAGTTTTTCACCATTGAGGGTAATGTTTGCTGTGGGTTTGTCATATATAGCTTTTATTATGTTGAGGTATGTTCCTTCTATTCCTGCTTTCTGGAGAGTTTTAATCATAAATGGATGTTGAATTTTGTCAAAGGCTTTTTCTGCATCTATTGAGATAATCATATGGTTTTTATCTTTCAATTTGTTAATGTGGTGTATTACATTGATTGATTTGCAGATATTAAAGAATCCTTGCATTCCTGGGATAAATCCCACTTGGTCATGGTGTATGATTTTTTTAATATGTTGTTGGATTCTGTTTGCTAGAATTTTGTTAAGGATTTTTGCATCTATGTTCATCAGTGATACTGGCCTGTAGTTTTCCTTTTTTTGAGGCATCTTTGTCTGGTTTTGGAATTAGGGTGATGGTGGCCTCATAGAATGAGTTTGGAAGTTTACCTTCTTCTGCAATTTTCTGGAAAAGTTTGAGTAAGATAGGTGTTAGCTCTTCTCTAAATTTTTGGTAGAATTCAGCTGTGAAGCCATCTGGTCCTGGGCTTTTGTTTGCTGGAAGATTTCTGATTACAGTTTCGATTTCCTTGCTTGTGATGAGTTTGTTAAGATCTTCTATTTCTTCCTGGTTCAGTTTTGGAAAGTTATACTTCTCTAAGAACTTGTCCATTTCTTCCACGTTGTCCATTTTATTGGCATAGAGCTGCTGGTAGTAGTCTCTTATGATCCTTTGTATTTCAGTGTTGTCTGTTGTGATCTCTCCATTTTCGTTTCTAATTTTGTTAATTTAGTTCTTCTCCCTTTGTTTCTTAATGAGTCTTGCTAATGGTTTGTCAATTTTGTTTATTTTTTCAAAAAACCAGCTTTTAGCTCTGTTGATTTTTGCTATGGTCTCTTTTGTTTCTTTTGCATTTATTTCTGCCCTAATTTTTAAGATTTCTTTCCTTCTACTAACCCTGGAGTTCTTCATTTCTTCCTCCTCTAGTTGCTTTAGGTGTAGAGTTAGGTTATTTATTTGACTTTTTTCTTGTTTCTTGAGGTAGGCCTGTAATGCTATGAATCTTCCCCTTAGCACTGCTTTTACAGTGTCCCATAGGTTTTGGGTTGCTGTGTTTTCATTTTCATTCATTTCTATGCATATTTTGATTTCTTTTTTGATTTCTTCTATGATTTGTTGGGTATTCAGAAGTGTGTTGTTTAGCCTTCATATGTTTGAATTTTTAATAATTTTTTTCCTGTAATTGAGATCTAATCTTACTGCACTGTGGTCAGAAAAGATGACTGGAATGATTTCAGTTTTTTTTAATTTACCAAGACTAGATTTATGGCCCAGGATGTGATCTATTCTGGAGAAGGTTCCGTGTGCACTTGAGAAAAAGGTGAAGTTGATTGTTTTGGGGTGAAACTTCCTATAGATGTCAATTAGGTCTAGCTGGTCCATTGTGTCCTTTAAAGTTTGTGTTTCCTTGTTCATTTTCTGTTTAGTTGATCTATCCATAGTTGTGAGTGGGGTATTGAAGTCTCCCGCTATTATTGTGTTACTATTAATTTCCTCTTTCATACTCATTAGCGTTTGCCTTACATATTGTGGTGCTCCTATGTTGGGTGCATATATATTTATAATTGTTATATCTTCTTCTTGGATTGATCCTTTGATCATTATGTAGTGTCCTTCTTTGTCTCTTTTCACAGCCTTTATTTGAAAGTCTATTTTATCTGATATGAGTATTGTGACTCCTGCTTTCTTTTAGTCTCCGTTTGCATGGAATATTTTTTTCCAGCCATTCACTTTTAGTCTGTATGTGTCCCTTGTTTTGAGGTGGGTCTCTTGTAGACAGCATATATAGGGGTCTTGCTTTTTTATCCATTCAGCCAGCCTTTGTCTTTTGGTTGGGGCATTCAACCCATTTACATTTAAGGTAATTATTGATAGGTATGGTTCCGTTGCCATTTACTTTGTTGTTTGGGGTTCACGTTTATACCACCTTTCTGTGTTTCCTGTCTAGAGAAGATCCTTTAGTATTTGTTGAAGAGCTGGTTTGGTGGTGCTGAATTCTCTCAGCTTTTGCTTGTCTGTAAAGCTTTTGAGTTCTCCTTCATATCTGAATGAGATCCTTGCTGGGTACAGTAATCTAGGTTGTAGGTTATTCTCTTTCATTACTCTAAGTATGTCCTGCCATTCCCTTCTGGCCTGAAGGGTTTCTATTGATAGATCGGCTGTTATCCTTATGGGAATTGGAGGGGGGATTTTTTTCAGACTTTTCCTGTGGTCTAGTATACATTATCTCCAAGCACATGACATGTTTACCAAAAAAATGACCATGTGTTAGGCCATAAGGCAAAGCTCAACAGATAGTACCATATAAACTACCTTCTCTGACCACAATGCAGTTAAATCTGAAAAAATAACAAAATGATACCTTTACAAAATGACTGCAAATGATAGAAACAAACACGAGATATGAGTCCTCAGGTTTAGAGCACACTGAGGTGGGCTAAAGGCAAATCAACACCTAAATATGAGAGAAACTGAAGACCAGTCAAGGACACTGACAGTCTTACCAACGAGAAAAGATACTGTTGTGACAAAGGAATGCGAGTAAAATGGTAGCAAATTCCTCATCATTGCCACTGGGGATTAGAAGTGCAAGAAGGGAAAAGCAGTAATTGCACATTATGAAGCTAGGCTGAGAATACTGTTTAAGTAGACATAATAAAATGATTTATGATATAGCTATTGGGAAGGTGCAGAGAGAACCTGCATATAAGGAGATAGGGCTCTGGTTGGTGATGTGGGAGAGCTTAATCCTCATCTTCTATAATGGGCAGTAAATAGGTAATGCCTAAAATTGAAAAATCAAGATGTAGCAATATAAACACATTATTTAGAGACGGTGGTTAAAAGAAAAGGAAACAAAGGATTTGAAAGTGAATGCTACAAGTAGTTACAAAGTATGTAATGTTGTCAGCATGAGTGTAGTTAACACTGCTGTGTGATACATATGAAAGTTGTCAAAAGTGTAAATTCTAAGTTCTCTTCACAAGGAAAAAAATTTTCTTTTTTGCTTTCTCTCTTTTTGGTATCTGTATGGTGATGGTAATTATTACTGTGGTAGTAATTTCACAATGATTATGTCATCCACCTTAAACTTATACAGTGATGTATGTCAATTATCTCAATAAAACTGAAAAAAATTAGCTTGAAGTGAGGAAGAAAAAAGATGGAGGAAAGAAAGTGAGTACCTCAGAGGAATGGAAACGGGCAAACTTATTTTCATAAAAAATCTTATAGAACTACTGGTTTCTTAAGTGGCATGTGTACAAAATTTTTTAAAAGTCAATACGAAAAGATACTGGAACAGACACAGTCCTAAATAATTCATGGGTTGAGAAAACTACAGCAGAGATTTTGAAATTATTTGGAACTGAAAATGTACCATATATTTGACCCAGAGGGATTGGGTGGAGAGGGAGGTGGGAGGGGGGACCGGGATGGGGAATACATGTAAAAAAAAAAAAAAAAAAAGATACACTATGGTTGTGATAAAATAAATAAATAATTAATTAAATAATTAAATAATTAAAATAAATAAATAAAATTGTGGGGTGCAGCTAAAGTGGTAAGAAGGAAATTTATAACCTTAAATGCACATGTTAGATAATTTCAAAGATTGGAAATTAGTGAGCTAAAGAAACCAGAAGAATTTCAGAGTAAATGGAAGGGAACAATAAAAATGAAAGGTGTATTAAAACATTTTTCTTAGTCTTCACAAAGATTATTAAGTAGCTTGCTGTGTATGATTTTCTGTGAAAATCACTGTAGAAGATCTCTTTTAAAAAATATATTAAAAATCCAAAATGCCCTTCAGATTTTCATTAGCCTACAATCTGAAATTAAACATTTTAAAAAGAGTAGCCTCAATTTACATGAGTAGAAACTGTGAAAAGAGCTCATGTTATTGCTTGACCCTGACTGACTGCCTCTAAGGGAAAAATCCACCTCAAAACAAACAAAAGCTTTAGAATTCCACTTAATGAAGCTTCTATTTGATTAGCTAGCTGTTATCATTAATTTCAAGTCCTATAGATACAGAATTTCTGTTTTCTCTAGGACAAACATGTGCATATCCTTATAATACAGTATTAAGCATGAGCTTTTTTTCCTTTCCAGTTTAGTGGGTCTGTATCCTTTTTTCCTTCCCAGTTTGGCGTTCACCTGACTCAGTAGCTTCTCCAGTTTGATTGCTAGGGACATGTCACCTTTAATCTTCAACTTTCCTGCCATGAATGCCACTGAGATGAAATGAGGGTGAAGAGTTTGTGTTACATGTTCTCATATTCCTTCCAAAACCCAAGGAAGTTGACTGTGAGGATTGCAAAAGGAGCACGTTTGTGGCACTTTGTGGCACTCGGGATGCTTATAAAAAGGATGCTTTTGAAAGTTGGAACTCTGTTCCCCATCTTCAGTTACTCATTAACTTATTTTAAGAGAATCTGGGGAAGAGTTGATATGCATTGAGTAAGAGAAAAAATTAATTTCACTTCACAGTTACTAAACACATTTATTTCTGCCTGGCCCACATTAACGTGCTACTTATAAACATGAACCTTTTAAGAGTAGAAGAAACTACTGAAAAAAATCACTCTGAGAAATCTCCATTAAAACAAAAACATTGCTACTATATTGCTTGCTTTAATAATGATGAGAATAAAATACTTTTGAGGGGAAAAGTTACCATTACTTCTTTTAAAAAATAATGTGGGGGCAGAAACAGGTCTATGGAAATAGAAGTCAGAATTTTGATTACCCTTGGGGGTGGAGGGAGTGGGTAGAGAGGCTTGTAGGGTGCTGATGTTTTATTTTGATCTGGTGCGGCTATATGAATATCCATTTATAAATATTCCCTGAACTGTTAAGCCAAGATTTATGCATATTATATGTATGTTGTGTGCGTGTGTGATCAGTTGTGTCCAACTCTTTGTGACCCCATGGGACTATAGCCCACAAGTCTCCTCTGTCCATGGGAATTTTCTAGGCAAGAATACTGGAGTGGGCTACCATTTTTTTCTTCAGGGGAATCTTCCCAACCCAGGGATCAAACCCTGTGTCTCCTACATTGGTAGGCAGATTCTTTAGCACTGAGCCATCTGGGAAGCCCCATATGTATGTTACACTTTAACAAGAAATTCAGGGGGAAAAGTACATTTTATCATAATTGGCAATTTCAGTTTATTAATACCATGTGGTCCCAAGATAAATTTCACATTCAAATTTCTTGTGACATACTTTGTCCCTTGCCTAAGAATCTTCAGTCTATCTGAAGACTAAACCCTACACTGTATTAAACATTTTTTTCCTTTTTTTAAAATTATTTTTAAATTTTTATTTATTTTTAATTGGAGAATAATTGCTTTACAATATTGTGTTGGTTTCTACATCAACATAAATCAACCATAGATAGATGTATGTCTCCTCCCTCTTGAACCTCCCTCCCATCCCGTAAACATTTTGAAAGTTTTGAAATGAAAAATGAGGTCTGTTTCTTTCAATCAAATTTAAGTCTTCAAATTCCCTTCACCTCTTAAATGCAAGTTAATAAATTATTGTAGACTATGCATTCATTGTGGCACATTTTGTCAATATTGAAACCAAATGTGTTCCTGCTAAAAAATACCTGAATGACCAACTGAACCTGCCTGTCAGTGCAGGGGATGCCAGAGACATGGGTTTGATTCCTGGGTCAGGAGGATCCCCTGGAGGAGGAAATGGCAACCCATTCCAGTATTCTTGCCTGGAGAATTCCATGGACAGAGGAGCCTGGTGGACTGCAGTCCATGGGGTCGCAAAGAGTTGTACTCGACTGAGGGGCTGAGCATATGCATGACCACCTGAAAGTGAAGCTTTGCACAAGATAGTGTTTTGTCCTTAATTTTGCAAGTTTTTTCTTATTTAGGCACATTTGGAGACAGAATCATTGGCCCACTAGGGGGCTGTTTAATCTTCAGTATCCTCAAACAGGATCTTTGTATTTGGATATAATTTGGGTCTTTTAAATTCCCATAGAAAATGCTGGTACTTTTTTTTTTAAGGCTCCCTTTTTAATACTATTTAAATGATTTTTCTTCCTACTTAGGTTCAGATAATAATTAAAGTCTCACTCTTAAATTTCAGGCAGTTCCTTTTAGTCTTGACAGCGTGGCAAATTCCATTCACTCCTTATTTTCTGAAGAAACTCCTGTGGTTTTGCAGTTGGCTCCCAGTGAGGAAGTAAGTTGTGATAGTTTTTATTTTAAATGCTTTGAAAAATAAACTGTCATTATTTAATGAAAATTTAAAACGAATTTTATGAAAAATGCTGATAGACCTTGATATGTTGGAATTAATCTGCAGAATGTAATACAAGTTTGGATTCTTCTTTCAGAGGGTGTACATGGTGGGGAAGGCAAACTCAGTTTTTGAAGATCTCTCAGTAACACTCAGACAGCTCCGCAATCGACTGTTTCAAGAAAACTCTGTTCTTACTTCACTTCCCCTCAATTCTCTGAGTAGGAACAATGAAGTAAGTAGTGTAGTCATTGAATGAATAAGTGAATATTACTAATTTCTCATGCTTCTGACTTTAGAGCAAACTTGAAATTTTAGAAAATGAAAAGTTTTACAAGTTTCCTGCTGGAGTAGACTCATTTTTTCCTTTAGTGTAATTTAAAAAAAAATGATTCTTATGAACTGACTCTTTTTGTGAGCTGAGCTATAGTAAATAGTATGACGTACTAGTGCAAGGGTTGTCACCAATTAATCCTGACAGGCCAGAAATCACAGTAACTACTTTGGTAGTGGGTGGAACTGGGTAGATCTGGTAATGTGGGAGCTGTTAGTCACTGCCTCTTCTGGTATGTTGCCTCATTTTTCTATTCATTCTCAACCGTCTAGTGTAAGGTGCTACCCTTCCTTTGACTCCTGTATGTCAGCTTTACCACCTATTCACCTGTTGGTGCACCCTCTTAGCCACATGACATGCCACCTTTGTGGTAGCCTCCCCTCACCTACTCTGGGTGACCAGGACTACCACCTTTTATTCTTCAAGGGATGTGAGCAAACGAGGCTATTGGCAGGACCTCATTGCAGTGTGCCAGAACATTCTGATGCCCTGAGGGGAAACCACTTTAGAGTTTGGATGCTTTAATCATGGCTTTATCAAAAATAACGTTATTGAGAGGTAGTCGCTGTGCTGGAGAATAACTTCTCACCATTTTGTTAGGAAGTACTATTCTATAAGCATTTTCAGTTGAAATGAACCTAGCAAATGGAGGACAGTTGCATAAATTCACTCATGTGTTTAATGTCTGTAACATCCTGTGCCTTACTTGATAGATGGCAAATACAGATCTTGGATGCATATTTCAGATAATGCTCATTTCTTTCTGCTCTCTGCAGGTTGATCTCCTTTTTCTTTCTGAACTGCAAGTGCTACGTGATATTTCAAGTTTGGTAAGTAGGCTACTCTCATTTGTCAGTTCCATTTATTCTGGCTTCAGAAGACATTTCTAGAGATTCCTTGAATGGTAATGAAACCAATCAAAAAGTTTACATATGCCTTAGATTTATGATTCCATGGAAGTTGAGAAATTAGTGGTGGTGTTGGGGATTTTGAACTCATTTCATGCATTAGTCTGCATTTTTACTTTTAGGAGAGATATTCCAAGTACACAAGCCTAGGAGTAAGGCCACCCTGGCTGTAGTTCTGACCTGTTGATTTCTTCTCAGATATTAAGGTTTAATTACTGTATCTTTATCTTTGGGTCTAAAATAGACCTCAGTAGAAAATACAGTTTTGACTAACAGTGCTGTCAACCAAGTCAGGAAGGGAATAAATATGCCTGTAATATGTTCTTTTTGCAGGGGGGAATGAATTTTTTTTAATCCTATGATGAAATAGAAAAGCTTAACCTGCGCGCTATCTTCTATAGTTGTTGCCCAAACTTTCAGTGGGGGTGGTTTGGCGAGTGTGGAAGTGTGGTGTTAGTGGTGCAGGAGGTGACCACTAATGGCTCATCTCTCTCTCTAGGATCAGACTGGTCCAACTACCTGTTCTCTCATACCCTGGCCCATATCTGAGGTTTTTAAGAAATTTTAAAATAAGTTTTTATTATAATTGCTTCTAAAAACTAAGATCTGTGTTGAATTTCAGAAACTACCATTTTAACCAGTTCCATTTGCCACCCTCCCAGACATGCATAGTTAGTCACTCAGTCATGTCTGACTCTTTGTGACCCCCTGGACTGTAGCCCACCAAGCTCCTCTGTCCATGGGATTCTCCAGGCAAGAATACTGGAGTGGGTTGCCATTTCCTCCTCCTCCTCCTCCTTCGACCCCAACCCAGGGGTCGAAGCCACATCTCTTGCACTGGCAGGTGGATCTTTACCACTGAGCAACCTGGGAAGCCCATACTGTGGTACAGTGGGGTGCCCCTGTTATACCTTTTAGGTAGAAAACTCCAACTGGCTGTGTTTGGCATTACTTTCTCCACCTCCTTTTGTTTGTTCTCCTAAGTTGTCTCGACATAAGCATCTAGCCAAGGATCATTCTCCTGATTTATACTCACTGGAGTTGGCAGGCCTGGATGAAATTGGGAAACATTATGGGGAAGACTCTGAACAATTTAGAGATGCCTCTAAGATCCTTATTGATGCTCTGCAAAAGGTAAATCATCAATGGGGTGTGAGCAGTTAAGAGTATGACCATTTGACTTTTCGCTTCCTAATGGGAAAATCTGCTTAGTGAAATACTACTGACTGAAGTCTTTTACTCACCTTCTTTGAAGGCTGAGGATGGAGTGGGTAAGGTCACAGGTATATAGTGGGATGTCAATGTGTCTTTCCTTCTTTGAGCTGTGCAGCACAGCTTGCAGGATCTTAGTTCCCCCACCAGAGATTGAACCTGGGCCCTGGCAGTGAGCTGAATCTTAACCAGTGGACCACCAGAGAATTACCAGAGATCTCTCTCTTTCGAATGCTGGCAGAGGCAGCATAGGAAATGATTGATAACTCTAGTACAGTACTTTTCTCTTTTCATCATGGTAAAATATAGCTAACGTAAAATTTACCATTTACCTATTTGTAAGTGTACAGTTCTGTGGCACTAAAAACAATCACATTGTTGTGCAACTGTACCACCATCCATTGCCAAGACTTTCATCTTCCCTGAAACGCTGTCCCCATTAAACCCTATGAAATAATCAAAGAACAGCACTTGGCACAGCACCAGACATGTAGTAGATACTAATAAATGCTACTTTTCCTCTGCCCGTGAAGTTATTCACCTGCAGCCCTTCAGTGAGGCTTCAGTTAAAACCTTTGTAGGTGTGATTAACCAGAGACCACTTAGAAAGATTTCCTTTTCCTTTTCTACTTCCCTGCTCCCAATTAATACACCAACAAATTAAGTGGCTACTTTCTTATTCTGAGTATTTGAGCTGAATCGTAACACTTTTCTGAATATTTTAACATAATCAAAACCTTTAAGACTTGCCTATTTTAAGACTGCATTTCATGAGCCAATAGGTAATTGTGTTTGTTCTTGTAGATGCACCAAAGCTTTACAAAAATTTTAATAAGTATGTGTTTTGAGATTCTTAATAATGCCGATAACGCTTCAGTTTGCAGATGACATGTACAATCTCTATGGTGGGAATGCAGTGGTAGAGTTAGTGACTGTCAGATCATTCGACACATCCCTTGTGAGGAAGACGAGGAATATCCTTGAGACAAAACAAGTGGTGAGTACATTTTTGGATCATGCTTTAAACTTGTAAAATGAACTCTTAAAAAACCCACCAAATCATCACCTGTGGGCAGTATACATGAGCAATCAGTAAATCTGAAAAATGATTAAAACATAGGTTTCTTATTCATGGAGGTATTGTGTTTTTTAAGTGATGCTCAGTTCTTTGGGGTTGTAATCAGATAATGTACTTTGTTATGGATAAAAGCAGATCTGTCAGAGCTGGTGAGATAATTCAAATACAGGTATTACAAGGAGATGTCAGACATTAACGTGCAGGAGGAGTGTGGTGCTCTCAACTTGTAGAATCCGCTTTTCTCAGAGGCACATTGTCTTTATGGTACAGTCTCATTTTCCTGCTATGTACACTCTCTACAATTCTACAAATTTTTGGCCTGGATCTTACTTTTGATTTTTAAGCATTTAGAGGATCATAGGCAAGGATGCCAGCCCTAGTAAAACAAGTGTATATGCACACAGCCGAAGCATCGTGTGGCCAAGAACATTATTTACAGCTGGCTTTATCTCTCAGAGCAGTCAGGTCCCCAGTCTTTTATGGACACTCTCCTTTGGGCCCCATGGGACTGAAGAGTGAGATGCTCAAAGGTAATGTGTGTTCAAGACAATCTGGACATGGCTGGTTTGAGATTGTTTCATCCTAAATAGGAGTGGGAGAGCCTCTGTTTAAAACACACCAAGCTAGACAGACCGAAAAATTTTCCCACTACAGAGCATCTAGAAATGGCTGATTAAAAAAAAAAATTACCCTTTTGAGTGCATAGTTTAACTCTCAAGAAAGTAAGGGGAACTGGAGAGCTGTGTAATAACCATGCTATCCTGAGGACATTGCCAGTTGGGTTGCCAAGGGACTGGCTCTCTAACTGTCGGGAGTTGGAACTGAGACTTCCTTGTGTAGCTGGGATGCCAAAAGGGCCATGCCCACAGTGAGAGGGTAGATTGGAAAACAGCCTACCTACCAGCAAAGGGGGCTTCCAGGTGGTGGTAGTGGTAAAGAACCTGCCTGCCAGTGCAGGAGACGTAAAAGACACTGGTTCAAACCGTGGGTCAGGAAGAGCCCCTGGAGGAGGGCATGGCAACCCACTCCTGTATTCTTACCGGGAGAATTCTATGGACTGAGGAGCCTGGCAGGCTACAGTCCATAGGGTCGCAAAGAATCGGACATAACTGGAGTGACGTTAGCACACACACACCAGCAAAGGGAGACAGAAAGGCCACTTGGGTGCTGTGCAGGCAGGTATGTGTTGGGGGTGGTGGAATGTCTCCTAGGGAAGCCTCGGGCCAAGAAATTAACACAAACCCTGGTCCTACGCTGGTAAGAGGGGGTGGGCCCCACCCAGCAGAAATGACTGTAAAACCTCCCTGGCAGGATACACCCTCCACACACACAATACAAAAGTATGTAACATGTAATACTAGTTAAAGAACTTTGAACATGTAACACTCTCAAGCTGAAGGTAATACCTGTTCCTTTGAAGCTCCCTCTTGTCTTATTCCTCTACCTTCCCCACCTAGAGGAAATTGCTCTCTCGAATATTATGTTAACCATTCCTTGCCTTTTCTTTACAGTTTTAATACAGATGTATTTATCCTTAAGGGCTTCCCTGATAGCTCAGATGGTAAAGAATCTGCCTGAACTGAAGGAGACCTGGGTTAGGAAGATCCCCTGGAGAAGGAAATGGCAACCCACTCTAGTATTCTTGCCTGGGAAATCTCATGGACAGAGGAGCCTGGTGGGCTACAGTCCATGGGGTTGCAGAGTCGGATACGACTGAGTGACTAACACTTTCACTTCATTTAGGCTTAAACAATGTTGTTTGGAATCGTACTGTGTCTTTTCTCTGAGCAAAGCCTCAGTATTTAAGAGTCACGCATGCTGATAGAGTAGTTGAGGTCATTTTACTGCTATGTGTTCCACTGCACAGATGTGCTAATTATCCACTCTGTTGATAGACATCCTTGTACATGTCTTGCTACACATATAGAAGTGTTCCCTAGGGTATGAACTGACTGGATCACCATATATGAACACCATCAACTTTATTGGTATTGCCAAATTTTCTCAAGCAGTTGAGCCACTTTCTGCTTCCACCAACAGAGTGTTTACCTTCTCCATGAAGGCTCCTCCTTCTTAGTTCCTAATATATGTAGCTCTTATGCCACTTAGTATGTTTGTTAGATAAATGAATCACAGCTATCAAATTGTGATAATTTCCTAACTTAATATTCTTCCATCTTGATTTTCTTTTATTGTAGAAGGACCCCTCAACTCCCTATAACCTTGCATATAAATATAATTTTGAATATTCAGTGGTTTTCAACCTGGTACTTTGGATAATGATCGGCTTGGCCTTGACTCTGATTGTCACCTGTTATAATATTTGGAACATGGATCCTGGATATGATAGCATCATCTATAGGATGACAAACCAGAAGATTCGAATGGATTGAACTTTCCTTATGCCAAACTTGGAAAGAAAGAGGGTTTGAAAATTGGCTGTTAAAATAAATCTTTTAGTGTAGTTTAAACTAGATAGTACACTTTAAATTTATAAAAAATCAAATTTTGTCCTCTTTTGTGTGTGCCTGTGATGTTCTTTTAGAGTGAATTATATAGTATTGATGTGAGTTGACTTGTGTGATATAGATTCCATAATATGCTTAAATATGATGATATAACCATTTAATATAATTTCATTCCATTTACTATTTGGAAATATGCACTGTAATAAATGTAAAACATTTAGAATAGTTTGAGTTATTTATGTTGGGAAAATGCACTGAATTTGAAATGTTTAACTTCCTTACACAGGACAGGTTGAAAGTGACATTTGGGCTATTATATACTATGAACTATTTGTAAATGTTTTAATGTAAATATCTCTGAAACAAGAAAAGGTTTCTAACTTCAAGCAGCTATTAACTATGAATGTGCTTACACAGTCACTCACATTTTCAGTTGCATCTGATTGACAGATGATAGCTGTTTTTTTTAATCTCTTCTGAAAGTTTGGTGATCTGAATGGTCAAGTGTGGATATTAAACATACTACATTAATCTAAGAATGAACTACTTTAATAAACTAGCTTTGTGATGTTGAGACACTTGTAATCATATACACAAAAACATTTGGGGGACATCTTGGGGCATGATTTCAGTCATTTTTCCCCTTGTGTAAGTTACTCTGGTTTACGGTACAAAATCGTTCTACATAGAATGTTAAGTGGAAGTAGATACTCCCTACTTTTTATGTGAAAGTGGACCAATGTCTATAAAGAGTGACAAATAAAGTTAATAATGATTCAAAATTTGTGTCATTTTAATACTACATCTATTTTATATTATAAAAACCTAAACAGGGTTTTGATCATAATTGGCTGTTTTGTTATACAAACTTCTTTTTTTTAAATTTGTTTATTCCTACTGCACCTCCTGAGATTGATTCATTACCAGTATGAGGAAGACACTTTATTTTCTACACTTATCATTGAATTTATACAGAATATGATAAATTCACACTAGACTTCAGGTGGTGAATTTATACAGAATATGATAAATTCACACTAGACTTCAGGTGGGGAAGGCTTAAATTTCCCTATAGTGTTTTAAAAAGTGACTATGCAGATATTAAATACTGATTAGAATATGAAGGACCATCTAATAAAGTAAAAGGCTTAAGGGTTAGTTTTAAAGTCTTATAGCTTATGACTTACCCAATTAAAATTTTAAGCTTCATGCTTATGTAGTTATTTTAGAGTTACGCTGCCTTGCCCCTGGGAACCCTACTGGGGTTTAGAATTAGCTGTGTCTCTCTTCTTCACAAAGATCATCATATCATTTCTAATCCACATGTTTGAGAAGATGGAGTCTGTTTAGCTGTGTTTTCTACCACCACTGCAAGATAACCTTTGACAGTTAGAGTGGTAAACTTCCATAGAGTGTTTCTTTTCACCTCTCATTGAACTATAAATAGTGAAGCTGATAACTGCACAGGAAAGAAAAACTAATTGTCCGAAAATCACTCAAGTATTCATCACCACAACCCCCTGCCAAGCTCATGAGGGTGAGGGTGTTTCCAGGCATCTAACCTGGAACACTGACCCCCATGGAACCCAACAGGGCCTATGTCTACGGGACAGGGATCTATAATGCCGCAGAGTGGTTAAAATCCACTTTTCTTCCACAAGTTTCTTATATAAATATTGCCATAGAAGTTAGATTGTTATGATTAAATATGAAGTAAACCAATGCCTCTGTAATTTAAAACTGATGAGACTAAGTTCTAGAAGAAGAAAAAAAATTACCTACATGACAGCACTAATCCGTACAGGGTAAATGGCACTAGCACCCATCTATGTTAGGCAGAAAGCAATTAATTAAAATAAATGTTCTGCCAAGATTATTATACCTGTTGCTGATGATTTGCTCTTAAATTAAGTCTAATTTGTTCAGGAACATAAATCACGATGTGGAGATTTGTGTGAGAGGCAGGAGAGTCATGCTTGTGGCAGATTATTCCACTGACAGTGAAAGAGAAAACCCAATCACTTCATATCTAATTGGTGGAATATTTCAAGTGTATAAAACATCTGAGATTCTATATGTGGCAGATACTGCTTATGGCCCAATTCTATCAGGAATAATAGAGAATTGATTTTCTTTGGCTATGTCTCTTTTGAAGGAATTACATACTGAATATCCATTTTCACTGGTACCAAATAATATGGAACATCGTAAACTTACTTTTAAATGGATGATCGAACCAACAATTTCCAAAACATGCAGTGGCATCAGGCTTCAGGTAGGTTTCTTTCTGGCCTTTCATGACCGAGTAACTATGCAGTAGTTTCCTGGAAAAATAAGAGTTGTCAGAAAAAGGCATTCGTTAAGAAGCACTGAGACTGAAATACAGATGAATTCAGTTAACTGATTCACCACTTACTAGCTGAACAATCTTGGGCAAATCCCTTAATCCTCTGTGAATCAGAGTTTTTAATCTATGTATTGGGCATGGTAATACTTCAGATCTGTGAAAATCAACATTCACTGGGATAACATGCTCTAATGTTTGTGCATGTTTAATATAAACTAATAATAGTACTAAATTCAAGGAACTCTGCTTGGACCCATCATTGTACCACTGATAGGTACTGGCTAGTTTCTTGGTTGCAAATAATAGGAACAAATTTTGGTTACTAAGTTATGTCACTTGTCCTACTAGTGACCTTTTACTGGACACAGATCCAGTTCGGGAACGCAGTTCCTATTTAGTTGTCCTTGCTCCTTCAGTCTGGGATGGTTCATTGCTGTGCCTCACGGCTTACAGCATCTTAGTTCCCTGACCAGGGATTGAACCTGGGGCCCTGCAGTAAACGCACTGAGTCCTAACCACTGGACCACCAGTTCACTTTTGAAAGAGTAATAGTGATTTTATAGAATGTCCCTCAGTTGGGGTTGGTTTGATACTTGCTCATGATATCAGGAGGCACATGATCTCAATATGTCTAATCTTTGGTGACATTAACTTCTTTAAAATAATCCAAGAAAAATTTCCATGCATAAGAGCAAACTCTACATATTGAAATGGTCTCTATCATTGAAATGGTGCCTCAGAAAACTGACACTAATCTACCAATTCCGAGACATATCTTTGTCTCAGAACATCTTAGACTTTTAAGACAAAAGATCTTTAGGGCTTCCAGACAAAAGGTCAAATTACTTATATGAATAAGAAAATCTGCCTGGTATCAAGACCTCTCATGTGTAATATACAAAGTATTGCAAGGATGGAATAGCATTTTCAAGAAACCCAAGGAAAGACCATGCAAGCCCAGAATGTTGTATCTAGAATCATGGATAGAACAAGTTTCAATTTTAAACTATTAAAAGACACAAAAATAGACTTGACAAATGAAGACATCTTCTTGAATAGAAAAACAACATGTATATCAGTCAGTGTGCTCCTGAGAATATATAAGAAAAAATACACACACACACACACACATATACACAGATCCCTATTTGAAGGAATTGGTTCATGTGACAGTATGGACCTACCAGAAGCAGAAGATACTAAGAAGAGGTGGCAAGAACACAAAGAGAAACAGTACAAAAAAGGTCTTAGTGACCCAGATAACCACGATGGTGTAATCACTCACCTACAGCCAGACATCTTGGAATGTGAAGTCAAGTGGGCCTTACAAAGCATCACTATGAACAAAGCTAGTGGAGGTGATGGAATTCCAGCTGAGCTATTTCAATCCTAAAAGATGATGCTGTGAAAGTGCTGCACTCAATATGCCAGCAAATTTGGAAAACTCAGCAGTGGGCACAGGACTGGAAAAGGTCAGTTTTCATTCCAATCCCAAAGAAAGGCAATGCCAAAGAATGTTCAAACTACCGCACGGTTGCATTCATTTCACATGCTAGCAGGTAATGCTCAAAATCCTCCAAGCTAGGCTTCAATAGTATGTGAACCGAGAACATCCAGATGTACAAGCTGCATTCAGAAAAGGCAGAGGAACCAGAGATCAAATTGTCAGCATCCATTGGATCATAGAAAAAAGCAAGGGAATTTCAGAAAAACATGTATTTCTGCTTCATTGACTATGCTAAAGCCTTTGACTGGATCACAACAAACAGGAAAATTCTTAAGAGATAGGAATACCAGACCACCTTACCTGCCTCCTAAGAAACCTGTATGCAGGACAAGAAGCAACAGTTGAACTGGACATGGAACAACTGACTGGTTCAAAATTGGAGAACAAGGCTGTATATTGTCACCCTGCTTATTAAACTTATATGTGGAGCACATCATGCAAAACGCTGGGCTGGATGAAGCACAAACTGGAATCAAGATTGGCGGGAGAAGTATCAATAACCTCAGATATGCAGATGACACCACCCTAATGGCAGAAAGTGAAGGGAACTAAAGAGCCTCTTTATGAAGGTGAAAGGGGAGAGTAAAAAAGCTGGCTTAAAACTCAACATTCAAAAAACCATGATCATGGCATCCAGTGCCATCACTTCATGGCAAATAGATGGGGAAACAATGTGGCAGACTTTATTTTCTTGGGCTGCAAAATCATGCGGACAGTGAGTGCAGCCATGAAACTAAAAGACGCTTGCTCCTTGGAAGAAAAACTATGATAAACCTAGACAGCATATTACAAAGCAGAGACACCACTTTGCCAACAAAGGTCAGTATACTCAAAGCTATGGTTTTTCCAGTAGTCATGTACGGATATGAGAGTTGGCTGAGTGAAAAAGAATTTATGTTTTTGAGCTGTGGTGATGGAGAAGACTCTTGAGAGTCCCTTGGTCAGCAAGGAGATCAAACTGGTCAATCCTAAGGGAAATCAACCCTGAATGTTCATTGGAAGGACTGATGTGAAGCTCCAATACTTTGATCACCTGATGTGAAAAGTCGATTCACTGGAAAATCAGCTGCT